ACATAGACAAAGATCTAGTAGGAACAGAACTGGGCAAAAAGAAAATCATTACGATCATATTCTGAAAAATAAAATTAGTTATTCCAGCAAGAAGGAGGTGTTTTTATTACCAGATTTTACCACACATTTGTAGAGTCGTAAAGGCCATAGACACCAGACAAACAACCTGCATTTTGTACCCTGCCTCCATCTTATTTAGGGTTGTATTGATTGTGTTTCATAAAAATCCATTGAAATGGGTGATGGAGGCAGATGCCAAGCCTGACCTCTTTGTGCACGATATGTCTATTATTAATAAATTAGTTAGAGATACACATCAGAAAACAAATGGTATTGCAAAATCTGGCAAGCAAAAAGTACTAGTTAATAAATACATGACAAGTTATGAAAAATGATGTATCTAGTCAGATGTATTTATTTGTAAGCTTGTCTTTAAAACCATAATTAAATTCACCTCAAATAAGGATTAGAACCTCATGACAGCTAAGGTATTCAGAATACACACAGCAGTGAGAAACAGTATGAAGGGTCACTCTGACAAGAAGACCAGAATGGAAATCTTCAGAAGAAAAGTTTTAGTCTGTTTACATTAGAGTCTTAGGGAGAAAAAACAAGTCTTTCCAGGGCAGGATGGGCAAGTTGGATTCTGTGCAGAAAAATCAAAGTAAAAGGGACAGTTGAACCGAGGAACAACGCACCGCTTTTGTTCCCGTGGGTGGCTGGACTGCTGCAAGCAACCAAACCTGTAGATGATGCAACAGAGGAACTTTTGGGATGCTGATAAAAGGCTTACCAGCCAAGTTTATTCGTTTGTTCTCCCGGAACAAGACAGCAAATTTCAAGGCACAATAAAGTGCCATTTTTATATCTGAGTATCAAAGATGTGAATGAAAGAGCCCAGGACAAGGCTGACTCATGCTTTGTGACCTCCTGAGCATCTGACCAGTGTAGGAAGAACAGTGCTGATGTAAATGAAAAGAGAACTTGGCCTTTTCTATGTGTGCCTTTCATTTCTGCCTCTAAAAGCTGGACTAATAATAATCCACAAGTGCATGAAGATATAAAAATTAAAAATATTTATGTTCCCGACCTTCCCAGGTGTTAGGTGCAATTTTCCCAGCCCTGAAATACTCCTCAGAATGCCTGTATTGGGCAAGAAGCCCATTTTTGAAGAGGAAAAACTGTGGTCTAGGGACATGGAGCCCTTCTCCATAGTTGATACAGACAAACTTGAGCACTCTGCAGGTCGGAGCTGTGCCAAGACGAGCAGCTCTGATGCAGAGATCATGTAATGGCAGAGTACTGGTGTGGTACCAGCCCAGCAGACAGTGGTCTATTCACTGAGTATGGCATCAGCCTCAGACATCTGTGCCACTTTTAAACTTCAGCCACCTTGAAACACAGGGTTTCTGACTGTCCCCATCCAGGTGGGAATGTGACACACTGAACACTATGCAAGAAGCTCTGCTTAGTGTCTGAAATGTTAAACTACCTCTCTTCACTCTCCTGTCTGCTATCCTGAGGAGTTTACCACACACCATAAGCTGTTGGGCGAATAAGATACAGGGAACTCACCAGCTTAAGCACTTTTGCTAAGTAACAACACTGAAATTCTGTCCCAGACAGCCCTCCAAAGGGATTCACTTCTCTGCTGCTTTTGTGGTATGGCAAGTGTACCAGGACCTTGAAAGTATCACAGTGTCTGCATTATCCATTATTCTAGTGAGGATCAAACTTATAGGAGTAATTAAAGTTAAGATTATTACTCCCATGTGCTGGTTTACTCATATGAACAGTAGCTATAGAACCAGGCAGACCCTGGAAAAAAATGATTTTTGCCTTTGTAATTGATTTGCATGCTATAATAAAGGCACTTCTGATGAATTTTAGTAGAGACGGGGGCTGAATACATGTGCCTCTTATCAGGACTTTGCTTTATGTTAAGACAGCCCTGCATTGTGCAGTGCATAATGAATTCCAGAAAACACAGCTTCTTATTGTTGTCAGTTATTGGGGGCTCATTCTCCTAATGAGACATGTAAATATCTTTCATTAACATTAAGGGGGACTGTGTGCTCGGCCCCTGAGGAGAACAGTGCTCTCTGTCAGCTAGGGCAGAAAGATGAAAATTACAACAAAAATGCCATTACAGTTATTGCAAAAATTTGCCTTTATGATGTTAGTAGTCTTGACAGCTTTTGGTATCATTTGCAGAATTATCCCTCTACCCTTTTGGCCTGTTTACCTTCTTGTTTTGGACTGCTACAATAAACTCTAAAATGTCTTTTTATACCCACAGTTTCAAAATGCAGAGAAAGGGACTCGGTTGCTAAACCCTGTTAAATACGGGCAGAATATGTAAGCCTGGGCTTAATGCATAAGCATATGCTTTAAGTCACCTCATTGAAATCAATGGGACTTCTCAAACTGTTAAGCAGTTCAGTGGTTGTTTTACCTGACCTTTTGATCACAGACTGGAGAGGTGGGTACTCTACTGGGTATTGAACTCTGAGTGCAGTAAGCCACTGGACAGGTTGGTGAGGCAATCTTTAAGAAACTCATTGAAAACTCTCAGAGCAAACATCCACAGAGATTTGCCTTGAAAAATACATACACTAAAAGTCCAGACACCTGCTGGCCCCATCAGTTCACATGCCTGAGGATCCTCTCCATCACTGCAGCTGACAGTTTGCTGACAGAGAGCAGCAATTTCCCTACTGCTCTGCCTAAACCTCCAGAGCAGAGGGCCATACACAAACTGCCTGCTGGCAACGGTGACAGCCTGTGCTGACCCCTGGCAGCCCCATAAATCATCTGAGAGAGTCCCCATGGAGCAGAGCCAAACCTGTGCCAGGGCCTGCACCTGAAAATGAGCACTACAGATCATTGATTTGAACACCTGCACATGGTCCTTGTTCCTGGGACGCTCCTGGGGATGGGCACAGCCCATAAGCTGGGCAGGGCTCATCTGAATCTTCCCTGCACTAGCAGTGAACTCAAGTGCTGGGGGTTCATGCTGTTCTCAGCACAAAATAAGGTGGTGCTTGCATGGGCTGACCTAAGATTTCCTTTCCAGAACAGCAATGACCTGACCACGCAGAGGTCTCATCAGGATGGTCTAATTTTAGGGAAGACTACTGAAGAGGCTAAAGATCAGTTCTGGGATTATTTCACAGGACAAATTCTTTTCTCCCTATTTCATATGAAGTTCTATTCATGTAACAAACTGATTTTGACAGTTTCTGTCAGAAAAAAAATCAGCATTTCATGAAAAATCAGCCCTGTGATTACAAATAGACCCACCAGCCCTCAAATGTGCATGAGGTTCAAAAGTTACACGTGTGTTTACATACACATGTCCACACATGTATAGTATGTGCATGTTTAAAATACGTCACACATAACATAAAGTGGATAATACACCAGGCCCTCATCTCACCTAACTGACCTTTCGGAAGACCAGGAGGGAGAATTTCCAGAGACACTCATATAGTGTGTGAAATCTCTGCCCCACTGAGTCAGATTTTCCAAACTATTTCAGTGCCTAAAGATGCCAACAGACACCTACTGTGAATCTGCGAAAGCACCGAGGCAGAGCGCAGGCTGAATTCATCTCAAGTCCACCAAGACTCAGAAAGCACCAAAGAAAATCAGTTGTGAAGATTCCTCCAAATACCTACAGCAGAATCACCTAGATGCTCTTCAGAATTTAACCCAGAAAAATTAAGTGGAATATTTATAATGGTATTTTAAATCTTAAATCTTAAAAAAAAAAAAAAAAAAAAAAAAAAAAAAAAAATAAAAAAAAAAAAAAAAAAAAAAAAAAAAAAAAAAAAAAAAAAAAAGGCATTTGAAAAATAGTTTAGAGAACAGACAAAGATCGTCTCAAACCATGTATAGTCACAGTATGCAGCAATGAATAGTGTCCTCTATAAAATGGAGGTAAGAAAAACACAGACTATAAAATAAAAGCAAGAAAAACATTTCACTGGGATTACTTAAGAGAAATAGCCTGCAGGTAAAAATGGATGTTAACCTTGAAAGCTGGTATCCAACCCCAACTAGGTTATGATAAAATACGAGGGCACATCATACTTTTCTTGTTGGGTTCCGTTTTTACTAATTTTCTGCAACTACACAAGATTAGATGGTCTGAAGTTGCCAGTGCTGGATCCAAGGCAGAACAGTCCCCACTTCTGCTCTGCCCTACAGTAACAGTTCCTAAACACAGTGGATTAACAGCATGTTTAGTGACTGTTGGAAATCAAGCAATATTATTTACATCGTAACGAGGTTCAGTAAACATCCAGCTAAATAGAAGAAGAAAATAATCCCCACTTAACTAGAACACTTAGCACAATGGGGTGCACAGACTGGCTTCTAATTTTCTTTGTATTTAGCAAATTAGGGAAATGCAAACTTGAGGAAACAAAGCCTACTCTGAGCACGGATCTCATCATCACAGCCCTTCTGAAGCTAACTCCAAAGACTAGACATGTTGCACGTGGCAGCTGAATTTATTTTAAAATTCAAGACTTGTGGCATACCAGCCTTTAGTCTGATACCCTGAAGAAAATAATGAGACTGAAGATCTGTGGATGACTTTTTTCACAGATGCAATCAGAGCACGCTTGTGACCTTCTCATTACGCCTCTCTGGGTCATCCCTGTTCCCATGTGAACTGCCAGGCACAGGCTCACGCAGCTCTTACACACATTGGTAATAACAGCCCATGCAAATTCCTACAACAAAACTAGATCCTTTCTATAAAATGGCGAAGCAATCTTATTCCTCCACTCACACCAAATACCCACTGAGCAGACGCTCTAAATGGCCCATTTGACCACTTTGCAATTTTCACTGGATGGTGCTGTAGCAAGGAGAAGGAAAGTTAATAAATTGTAAGAAAGGATCATCCTTCCCCCATTAGCACCCTTCCCTTCCCTTAACAAATTTCATCCTTCCCTCCATTACTCTGAGAGAGAAAATGACGGACGTACCCCGTGGCGCTGTTCATAGTAAGCCAGCTTGGATTTGGTTAAGACAAAGAAGCGCACTTTGAAGTTGGAGGGTGAAGTCCTTCTCTTCTGCTGGGATTTTTTGATCAGCAGTTCCTCCAGGAGCACACAGTTATTCATGGCTGAGCCAAGAATGTTTGTCTCCCAGGACATGAGAAGTCTACCCTGTGTGCCCGTCTAAGAAAGAAACACAAGAAGGGAGACAGTTAATTAAAAAAAAAAAAAGTTGTTCAAAAGGCAGCGTAGGTGCTTTGAGCTTTATCTCCCCATCTACAGCAAAGCTTCCTTTCTGTCAGACCGTAACCACATCCTCTCTGAAGTCATAAAATGAGCAGCACAGTTGAGATATATGCTAGGGTAAATGTTGTGGAAAAAATAACACTTGATGGACATTCAGAAGGTGTGAATCAATGATTAAGGATTAATTAAGGGGGTGTGGCATGATTAAGCATCTGTCTCCTATTTGCTTATCTAGTAAATACAGTTATAAATGCACACACCAAACACGGATGTATGGGATGAGTGTCCTCACTGTCCTCTTAGAAGTAGGTCGTGCATCCATATTTATTTTGTGAAGGAATGGTACCTTCCCATTTGCAGTGAGCCACAGAGATTTCATACAATGGATTTTGAGGAAGTTCCCCATATAATGATTTAGCTGACAAGGCGGTGTTTGGTCAAAGGTTGGACTCGATGATCTTGGAGGTCCTTTCCTTAATATTTCTATAATTCTATAACATGAAGGTTCTTACTATGCAAGCAAAGAAATTATATCCAAGGACACTCTCAGAATCAGAGAATCATAGAACATGCTTGCATGTACTTGTATAAGAAATGGTAAATATATAATAGATATTTAAACTGAAGACAAACAGTTATAATAACCGATAATTGATTAATTATCATTGATTACTCTCTACTGATTACTGACTGCTTCAGATGCAGTCTGATGAGGCTGGGGCTGGCTGCTGCAGGAGGGAGATGCCCTCTGTGCATACTGTCAAGACCAATGTCATCAGCAGTGACATGAGCTCAAACATCCAACCAAATGTAACTGGTTTCCTCAGGCCTCCAGGGCATCATTCAGGGCAGTTTGCACCAGGCTAAATATAAAATTATAAAAAAATTAATATCTATCTAATGCAGTCAGTACAACTGTTCTATTTTTAAACAAATGCAATCCATTTTTCTCTGCTCTTTCATTCTTAGTCTTTTGTGTATTTTTTTGTTATTGATGTATAATTGCATTGCTGATGGTATTGAGGCTTGGAGTCTGGTGGAATGCGGGGAAACTGCAAGGTAAGTATTTTTATTAATTTGATATTTCTGAAAATTGCTTCAGTGTAAATCATTTACCAGTGCTGAGTTTTGTCTCTGTTTTAATGTAGCACTATGGTGTAAGAAGGCAGCTCCCTATTGCTGCTTTTTAGAGCTGTTTGCAAACTCAAAAGAAAATATTTCATTATTTTAAATACAGGTTATGAGGAAAAAAATCTAAACAAATATCAGAATTGAGAAAAAAAAAAAAAAAGAAGACTTGGATTTTATAGGGCAGTTTATAGACACACTTGGGAACCATACTCTCAATAGAATATATTGTTTATTCCTCAAAAAAAGAAGAAGTGGCATATCCCTTCCTTGGTGATTTATAATATATTATTTAGGCAATACGTTCCAGGGATCATCAAACTTTCCCTATCAATTTTGTTCAATCTTAATTAAGAAACTGCATTTTCCATAAAAATACAATTTAAATCTAGCACTTGATGTACAGACTTGTAAGAGAATTTGCTTAAGACAATGCAGCACCATGGGACAGAAACAAGGACAAACAGAAGCTGCTGAGCAGCTGATGCCTGTATAAATATATGCTGAAGACGAGATGCAGTATATACTGAAACATTTGTCATGCAGAATTCTGTTAAAGGGAGGCTTTGTTTCTCGGCAGAGTGACTGAGTACCAAGGAACTCCTGTGGTGAGATGACACAAATCTGTGATCTCCTAAAAAACCATCACTGGTGTCAAGGGGAATTTCATACCTATTTGTAGACTAGGATCAATGCCCAGGCCAAATTTCCCAATTCTTCTACAAACCCATTTGCCTCATGCAGTACATGTGCATAAAAAACAGAGAGTTTGATGAGAGTTTTCAAAATTTAGCCCTGTGTCAGCAGTAGCTATTTGGATAAATTCCAGACCTTCGACCTCCAAAATATAGGACCACTTTTGCGTCCACATAACTTTCCTTAAGTTTGAGAATTATGCTCAGAGATCCTTTTTTGTCATTAATAAACCAAAACATGCACAGGGACAAATTGTATGGATTCACAGTGCAACAGCGAATTCCCCCCCAAAAAGGCTGCTGATCTTGATCAACAAGCATTTCACTTGATTTGTGTTGATACAGATACATTTATAATGACAGTTTGTAATGGCATTGCATTTTTAGCTAATAACAGTTATTAAGGACTATGTTACTTTTTTCTAGTCTCTTCTTCACACTAACTGTAGAGAGTTAAGGACTTCATGAAAACTCTTTGTAGCTTGGCCAAGGGGGGTTGCAGTCTGCTGGCAGAGATGCTCATGTTGTCTGATCAGAAAACTGAGTATAAATAGAAATACAAGGGCATGACAGGAGTACAGGACAGCAGAGAGGTGAGACATCAACACCCTTGAGGAGAGCTGGAGATGGGAGGATGTGGGGGGGAGCAAAAGTTCAGCAAGGGTAGTGAGTAGTGGGGGGAGAGCTAAGAAATTCTTTGAACACAGTGACTGGCAGCTTGATTTCTTCACCAGATAATAGATGAGTTCTCAGAGGGACATGAAGAGGGGAACGATTTGATCAAATACACAGATAAGGGGCTTGGCAACTGCGCCTCATTTGCCGTAAACACGATGCACCACAGGAGGTCTGACGAGAAGGTGTTGCGAGGGGCAAGGTAAAAGAGAGAGAAACGAGGAGCAGCTGAGAATGCAGGTTTGATATAAGACTCGCAGATGTAAGAAAATAATCACAGATTTTGGCCCAGAGTGATAGAGAATGTCGTAGCTGTGTTAGAACCAGCAGGATTGAGCATGCTAGGTCAGCCATTCTGAGTTTTCCATGTTGAGCTCAAAATGATGGTGGGCCAGCTAAGATATTAAGCAGGGAGGAAAATAAGAATGACTAGGAGGAAGAAAATAAGTCAACACAGCCAGATTTGGGTGTCATTGATATAAACATGGGAGCTGGTTTCAGTGAGAGCTGTGAACTATTGCGATATCTCTAACAGCTGATAACTCTTCAGTGTTGAGCTGGGGAGGAAGGTAGGGCCTGACATATTTTTGTATCCAATCTTGCTACCGATCTACTCCTTCATTTTTCTTTTTTCCCTTAAAGTCCAAGCCCCATTTGTAGCAAACACAGAAATAGTGGAGTGTTACGAGCCAAACCCAGAATATGAATGCTAAGTTTAAAGAATGTATAGCCAGGTTGACATGTATAAACCAAAATCATACGATCTAAGAATTGTATTTGTATTTAATTACACATTTAGGAGAGAGTAACCTGATTATGTATATTTGAATTTAATTCCAAAGATCATGATTTCCTGACTAATTTTTAAATAAAATTCTTTGTTCCTTTCAAGACATGAACTGTAGACAAAAATAATTTGTCATTATCCCTCTGGCTGATTACCAGGTTATAATCCTTTTAAAGAAAGCCTCAAACATTTAAGGGGCTCAGGACCTTTCTACAGTAGAGGAGGAGATAAGTATATATAACTATATATATTTAGGTAGAAATACACCACTTGTCTAGGACCAAGTTGGCTGCAGAGCTGGAATATGTGAGGATACCTGCAGAGCTCTACACACAAAGTGCAAAGTCTTCCTCAAAGGGCTCCTCAGGAGAGCTGGAATATCCCATTAACACAAGTATTTCACTTCTGGAAGCTGACCTCGTGTAATGGTACAGTTTTACACCAAATGTAAGAGCACGCTCCTTTCAAAACTTCTGGCACCAATATATATCACATGGTACAGAAATTCTGTATCCTTAATAGAAAATAATTAAATATAACTGTCCTAAATATCTTAGAACCACTGTAAGACTATCCTTCAAGGGATGATGAATTTTTTAGGTACCCTACATATTCTTTGCTTAAGTGCTTTTCTAAAGCCTGCTACCATGTATCTTTTGACACTTTTTCATCCATATTCAGAAAAATCTGAAATACTTTAAATGATTCAGATTTAAGTTTGAGCTGCTGTGTGCTCTAAATACTCCTCTGTGCTGGGTAAGTTGAGGTTACAGATAAAGTTATTCTTATCAACTGTGGCCTCAGTGGACTCCGTTTTCTTCTTTTAATCACCTTTGTTCATTCCTTGCTACCTCCTGCAAACTGCTCTATTTCTGCTTTAAAAAATGTTATTTTAGGGATTGGATTTTTTCTTAGGGGATTTACCCAGATTATGCAGTTCACACTTTGATTACTGCCGACTGTGAAAATCTCCCCACCCGCACATCCTGCTCTGATACCAGTGCTCATGTCCTGAAGGCGGCAGAGAAATGTATAAAGTTAAATATAGAATGTTTTGTTTTTTGTAAAGAAAACAGTCTGCAAGGCTGCAACTCTCTCTTCGTTCTCATAAATTGACCCATATACTTCTATCATGTGTAACATTTAGGTCAGGTTTACTGCCTGGGTGCCAGCTCTTCCTTTACACCAGCTGCTCAATATGATGATTATTACTCTAAACTTCTAAACTTCCATCATTCAACCCATTTTGCTTCTTAGCTTAGAGCGTGAGAAACTCTTATTTAGGTTACTCAGCTGTCTCGCTTCTTTGGCAGTTCATTGTCACCCCAATAAACATGTCTCCAGTAGACCCAAAGAACAAGACAGAAAGCTGCAGAAAAAGGGAAGAATTAGCCTGGTCTTTCTGAGCCAGATGCGTCCAGCTTTCCTCTAGGCCTTACAGCTGCACCTTTGAATCTGCTCACACTGCTCCCAGTGACCAAGGGAGCTGCTCTTGTAAAACCAGGGCAATATTCTCCTGTGAACTGTCTGGGACCCCTGGGAAAGTAGATGCCTTGTTCTGAGCCTTGCTAGGAGGATGTAGTGAATTATCCATCATTTGAATGCCTGAAGGGAATCATTCCCAGGCTTACTGATGTTGGCAGTAACATAGAGAACATGCTTTGTACTGGAGAACTTGCACAGGGTTAGGACAG